AAAAGGAAAAGGACCGAGAGAAAAGGAAAGTCCTCTCGGTCCCATATCGCAGAAGGTGCACTCGATGACCGACTTAGAAGATATATATAAAGGAAGAGGAATCGACACCGAAAGACACAAAATATTCCAAAGAAGACCTAGAGACTGAGAACTCATCACTTTAGATTCTTAGTGTCATAAAGTCTTAGTTCGTTATTATCAACTTAATAACCGAACTCAGTTGTACTCTTTTGATCTGATCTAATAAAACCTGAGTTTACCGATCTAAAATATTGTTTTGCCCCTTGTCGATATTCACTTATCAACAATGATCGACTAGTTGAAGAGAATGCTTTTAAATTCATTTGATGTACTCACAGGTTTCTGATTCTAGTTTGAGTTCCTAATGTCTCTTGGTCCCTGTCTCGGAGCTTTGCTAGTCTAGTGCTTTAATTATTTTGTAAGCTGTAAAGCGATTCAAGAAGTGCCTGGATTTTTGACCGGTTTCGTATTTTAAAATCGCAGATGAAAGAAAGAGCGGAAAAGCTGGAGTTGTGGAGAATGACGGGACTAAAAAGGGAAGATAAGAAGAAAGAGAGAAAGAAGCTATTGCATGAACAAAGTTCATTGTGGATCGAGCCAAAGGAACTGGAGAAGAAGCTTACGGAAGCCCTGGTTGACTCCATTACTCATTAAACCAAGCCAAGCCCATCTCTTCTGAATATCTTTGATTGAGAAACCAACCACTTTAGTAATTTTGTTGGAGACAACACTTTTCTTTAACAGAGTAGAAAGCAAAGTCGTTTTTGGCCTTTTTGCATTAAGCACATAATTAGTATTGATGAATAAGTTTTGAATTGGTCTTGTGAGCAATTTTGTCTGTGGTTTTTGGTGACTTATATCATTAATAAGAGCTTTTCTTTTTATTGTTATCACTTGTATCCATTGTTCTTGAATGACTCTGAATCCGTAAGGGTATCCTGAGACCTTCATTTGGTTCATAAATTTGAGTGATGTATTTGCATATGGTTTCTTATTACTAATGATTATTACCCGCACATTTCTCTACTACTTTTTAGAGGTATTAAGTTTTTCCTTTGAAATATACTCTTCGTTTCAGATAAAGTGTATATTGTTTTACTCCTCTTCTTTTTTTTTTTTTTAAAAAAAAAAACAGATCTATGAAAACTAAATAAAAAATCGAAAATATGAATTTTATCATTGGAAAAATGTAAAGAATAACCAAAATCCCTTACATAATTCACCAAGTAACCAATTTTTTTTAACTGACATTTTGTATATAAATTATAAATATATACAAAATTACCTTTATACACTACACGTACAAAACTACAAAAATCTTCTTTGTATTTTATATCTTTCGTATTTTGTCGTGTTCATTCTTTTTTCTCCTTTTCTCTTAATTGAGTTGAATCTTAAAAAAAAGTGATTCAAATTTGCAATCCAAATATACATTAAAAAAGGAGTTTTTCTGCATATATTATCGTTAAATGTTTTTGAAACAGATACAAATTTCTGAAAAAATAGATAAACATATAAATAAAAACATACATTCTATATAAAATACAATAGTTTATCTTTTATGTATTTTATATATTGAATGACGCATACTTTATAAGAAAACGAACACTATACTGAATTAGGTTAAACTATGAAGCAATAAACTACCAATGATCAAATATTATTACATACGATTTTTAATAATGGTCACATTAATAGTTATTTTTTTATAAATATTTAAACTTTAGCAAGTAGGATAATATACTGCACAAGTCACAAATATCATATTAGCAAATTCGAATGGAACATTCAATAACGGGCCTGGTTTGAAACCACACAGACACGGCTCTTGTTCTTTCAGGTTTTTGCAACATTCTGTCGATGGTTGAGTTAGGGCTTCAGCTGCCTTAATTTATGCATGGTTTAAGCACATTCACGTCGCATTTCACTTTCTCTTCTCCCACAACTCCTTTGGTGGGAGCCAAAAACGACATAACAACTATCACAAATGCGAAACAAACTATTGTATGTTGTGAACAAAGCCGTGCCTACAGTGAAATAAAAAAGGCAATCGCCTAAGGCCACATCTTATTTATTAAGTTTAGAGGTCACATTTAACAAGTGAATTATAGTTTCTTTAGTTGGCTAATTTGTTTTGTGCATATTTTATTTTGTTCAAATTCGATCCTCAGCCGCATAAAAGTATAACTATTTTTTCACCAAATTTTTTAAAAATACTACTGTACATTTGATTACTGATTTTTTATATAATTTCATTAAAAGGGTTACATTTTAATTTTAGCCTAAGGCCTCCAAAATCCTAGGCACGACACTGGTTGTGAACTTCATTTTATAACCTTAACGACTCTCTCAAACTAATCAATTTTTTTTTTCTTGTAAGAAGTTTGAGATGTTGATTTGAGGTGTTGATGGTCAAGCTATTATATAGATGGAGACTAAAATAATATTTGCAATAAGCAATTATGCGTTTTAGATACTGAATTTTGTCTTTTTAATAAAATTTTGATGCATTTAATGTCGATATGACATATTATTTTGATAATTTATAAGATACTGACATATGTATATTATATTAAATTGTGTCACACATTAATTAGCAATTTCTTTAATATAAAACTACATAATAAGAAAACATCAAAATTTTAAGCAATGTGAAGGAAAAAAGTAAAAAAAAAAAACAATTGAGGAAATAAAGTGAAAATATGTGTGTATATGAAAATTAATTCCATCAATGCACATGTCTATATATATATTTATTTATTTATTTATTGGATTTGTATTTTTATAGAAATTTGATATGAATAATTAAAATGATTTGGAAAGTTAAGTAAAGTATGAGTGATAGTTAAAGATGAAGATCATGTTAGATCAATACGAATATGAGAAAAGAAAATAACAGAGTTAATACTCTTTATATTCTGAAACTTTGTATTCTAACTTTATTATGTTAAATTAATAAATACATTTTCGTAGACAAAAAAACAGAGCAGAAAAGCTGGAGTGGTTGAGAATGACGGGACTAAAAAGGGAAGATAAGAAGAAAGAGAGAAAGAAGCTATTGCATGAACAAAGTTCATTGTGGATCGAGCCAAAGGAACTGAAGAAGAAGGTTACGGAAGCCCTGGTTGACTCCATTACTCTCTAAACCAAGCCAAGCCCCTCTCTTCTGAATATCTTGGTTTGAGAAACAACCACTCTAGTAATTTTGTTGGAGACAACACTTTTCTTCTTCTAACAGAGGAGAGAGCCAAGTCCTTTTTGGCCTTTTTTCATTAAGCACATAATTAGTATTGGTGGATAAGTTTTGAATTGGTCTTGTGAGCAATTTTGTTTGTGGTTTTTGGTGACTTAATATTATTAATAATAACTTTTCTTTTTATTGTTATCGCTTGTATACATTGTTCTTGAATCTCTCTGAATCTATAAAGGTATCCTCAAACCTTCATTTGGTTCATAAACTTGAGTGTATTTGCATATGGTTTCCAATTACTAATGATTATTACCCGCACATTTCTCTTTAACACTTACGTCTTTCTAAATTTTAATATATATTTTTCCTATGCAACAGTTTTTCTTTTAAAGAAAATATTTATTTTAAAGCGCTCTCCACTAATAATTTTAAACAAAAAAACAACGTATACACCAATTTAATGTTTGAAATTTTTTATACTAACTTAGAATTAAAAAACATACAATTATTACTAATATGGTATTGCAAGAAATCATTTTTATCAGATAGTTAGCTATGAATAAAGAAAAATTTAAAGTGGACGATGCAACATGCGTTCTATCTCCAAGAAAATATGTTTAGAACGAAAACCAAAACATAAATATTTGGTAAGTAAGAGAATGTGCAGATTTTTGGTTCATGCATCGCTTGTCTTTTTTTTTTTTTTTTTTGAATTTTGTGTTTGAGTGTGTAGTATGTGAAGTTTTTTTTTTGTTGGTTTTGCGTTTTGATTTTTTGTTTTTGTGTGTGTTTGAATATTATCGTGATTGGAGTGATTTGCGTTATGGTTTTTGTTGTGTGTTCTGTTTTGTTTGTTTGTATGTATGTGACTATGTGTGTGTGTGAGAGAGAGAGGTAGAAAGAGGGATATTACACCTTACCTGATTATCTCCACAACTTTTATATTTTGCAGCATAACAATTTATTCCTTCAAAAGCCAAATATTTTGTTAACATAGCACAAACAATACAGCAAACCAAAATAATTACTAGTCATCTTACAAAGTGTGAATGTTTAGTGAATTTTTAATCCTGATGAGGTAGTGCAAATTTTGACTAACTTCCCCTAAAACTTCAAAAGTACGTTATTTAGATAATGGTGAAAAAAGCCAAAAATATAAATAAAAAGAACATTACAGAATAAAACATAATTACCTTAACACATGAATAGCTTGTCATTTTTGGCCTTTATTTACCCAGTTAGACCTTAATACCATCTCTTGTTCTTATGAGCATATCTGGATCAAACTGAATATATTTTAAAACCATCATAGATAAGCAAACTGAATATATTTAAACCATCATAAATAATAAAAATTCATACATAAATTTACTCTTTTGCTTGAGATATTTGATTATTTAAAAACACTCTTACAAACCAGATATTTGAAAAGTAAGAGATAATATATGATAACAAAAATCTCACAGCAAGTTGTTTGGAGTGAGAAGAATGTGCAAATGTTTGGTTTATGCATCGGTTGATATTTCTTTTGTGGTATGTGAATAAAATAAACATGGAGAAAACAGAACACTAGTGAAGGAGATGTTTATTGACTATGTTCAATTATTAGAAGATGTTTCTTTTATTGAATAAATCACCTATTTAGAACTAAAATACTGGGAAAAAACAAAGTTCCTAAGATCAAAAGCACCTAAATCCTTGGAAATTAAAATCCTGGCCTACGAAATCTGAAACAAAAAAAAACATCATAAGTCTAAGAGAATAAAAGCCCTAAAGTCTCTAAGAAAATCTAGCAAATAGCCTCGACGGCGAGCCTTCTAATAGCATCTCCACATTCCGGCGCTCCAAACTTCTCTGTAGAGACATCAATAAAACACATTTCTTTTCCAACACATTCATCAGTGAGAATATCCATAGCATCTTTGTTTGCTTCACAAGTTCCCTTCTCGAAAGAACCACAATTGCCTCCTGGGTTACCAAAGCTGGCAAATTTGATGGCAGAAATGGGTTTACCGTTGCAAGAAAGCTCAAGAACGTTCTTTTCATAAACATTTGCACAGACACTTCCCACTGTAACAGTTCGAAAATTGACAAGTGATGGGTTTCCTCCAATCTCTTCGAACAAAACCAATGTGTTGTCTCCCTCTGAGTTCAAGAAAGAACGTGGAACATGGTACCTGGTTCACAAACGATAAAGATTACAAAAGGGATTGATTTTGAAACAAAACCAATTCAAAAACTTGATTTTAGAACCTAAACTAAATCAAGAAAATTTACCATCTTTGAGTAGGTTCTCCACAATTGGTCTGACATTTTTCAGCATAATAAGCTCCTCTATAATTACATTCAGCGGAACAACCATCTACGCTTGAAAGAAAAGCTGGCCAATAACGTCCAATGTTGTTTCCATTGATCCAAGCCGTACCTTTTCCAAGTCCCAAGAGATCGACAACAACTGGTTCATTTCCCAAAGGAGCCTTAAAAGTTGTCTGAAATATAAATTGAAATGATTAGGATTTGAGATTCAATCTATAGTCTATAGGTATTTGGTTAGTTTTTAATGTTACGTACCTTGTACCAAGTCATGGTTCGGTTGAATGGTACACTTTCACCTGACCATGTCGAAGGTGATTCCGAACTAAAGAGTTGGTTATCAAACCCGCTTAAACCGGTTTTATAGTTCCATTTATGAGCAGACAAATCCTTCACCACAGTTTCATCTCCATTTCTTCCGATGATGAAAACGGGTCCAGTGATTCCGGCTGGTACGGTTTCGAAGAAAGCACCATAGTTCTTGAAAGAAAATGACAAAGTTTGGTTAAAGAATGGTTTCAACTTCAAAAAAGACAACATAATAAGATTTTAACTCACCGGAAGGCCCACGGTTATGCTAAGGAGAGAAATGACATTAGCACCAGGGTTAAATTTTGCGTCTTGCTCGAAAACATAGTGAAACTTTCCACTATCCGCGCGATAATTACCTAAAAACATAAAATAGAGATGCATGAGTTTGTTTTTAATTATGTAGTGAGCTAGTGTTGTTAAGAAGCATTATATATCATTCTACTTACCAATATGTTCTCCATTGACAAAAGCGTGAAGAACATGAGCGGTGCTATTGATACGAAGAGACATGTTTTTGCTCAAAACTGGATCTTGTTCTTTGAGATTGACCGTAGTCATGTACCAAAGATAATCGCTTTGATCGTTGCTTACTATTTTTTGATCAAACAACTGACTCATTGTAGATTCTCCTTTTCCTTTCAATAGGACATTGTCAACGTTCTCTGGTCTCCATGACCACTTCAAAGTTACAGGTTCGTCCTCAGCTTCATTTGGTTTTTTAACCATCACCGAAGTTTGTGTGTTAATCTAAATAAAAAAAACAAATAAAGGCAAATGCATAAATTAATATCAACTTCAAATGATAAAGATAAATATTTAAACATTAAATATACATTTAATGATAATTATAATGTAAATGCAACAAACCTTGGCGGTATTGTAGGTTTCAGTTTTGCAATCTGGTAAAATGCTAACTGACCAAGCCGGTACAACGTATGATGTTCCGTTGAAATTGATTGTTGCATCTGAAGTTTCATTTACGTTTCCAAAGAAGCAACTTGATCCCTCTTCAGTTGTGTAAACCGTTGCCTATATAATATATGTTCAAAAGTTCAAAATAATTATATGAAATATTAATTAAATAAAAAAGCAAAATAATGAAAGTATTACCGAAGCGAAGTTTCCAAAATCAGTAGTGGAGATGTTTCCGTGGGTGAGAGTTTTCTCCATAGAGTGAAGAACATCATGGAGTTGTTTCAAGTGTCCGTATTTTGGCTGGTTCAAATTACCTAATAGAATCCTCTTCTTTTATTACTAAAAATAATGTTCATAAAATCTCTATAATTATTAGAAACGTAAATATAAGTTATGTTTACCAAATTCGTCTAGGGGAGCATCATAATCATATGTAGTTGTGATGTATGGACCACCTGCTGTTCTATCAAAATTGGTGCCTCCATGGTACTACAAAAAGCAAATATAAAAATTTATTGAATTGTTATCGTTGATGAGAATTAATCTGTGTGATTACTTAACCAGAAAAATTAAAGTTCCCATTAAATTTGACCATGTAATAATTCTGAAAAGTTCCCCCTCTCTGAAAGAATCTTGCTACAGCGAATGCCACATCTTCAGTGGTTCTGTGAGGGTCTTTACTTCCCCAATTTTTAAACCTACAAAAATATAAGTGATCATATATTTATTTATGATACTAAATTTGAAAAATATAAGAAAATATATACAATAATAAATAAAAACTAACCATCCGGTCCAATTCTCGGTCCACATTTTAGGAGTGTTGGGATTGTTTGGTTCAAAATTGTCACAATACCAACCATTACATGTGTTCAACTATATAATCAAACGAAAAAAATTAGTCCTTGTGTAAGTTACATTAGTAAAATATTCATTAAGATTTAGCTAGTCTAATTACCATAGGTTGAGGAGCATCATCTTGTTGACACATGATCCATGGAACACCAACATCAAGAGACTGAGCCATGTTTGCACACCACTGAATATATGCCTTACCCGCCTCCCCATACGATCCAATCACATTTCCATACTCATTTTCAATCTGCAAGATCAATAAATCAAAATCAAAATTGCTAAGAGCTTATAATTTGTATACTATATTACTAAATAGATAAGGTAGTATTAGAGAATAGATCGATTACCTGAGCAAGTATAATCGAACCTCCTTGTGATGCAAATAACTTTTCTTTCTTGACCATGTCTACTATCATAGTTGTGAAGTTTTGCATTTCATTCTGTATACAAATCATTTATATATAATTTAGTGAGACAATTAAAAAACTGTAGATTATATAGAGTTAGATTACCATGAACGCAGTGTTAGTAGTTCTGAATTCCATTCCGGGCATGTTGTGCAGCCACACAGGGAATCCTCTGTATACACGATTAACAGATTAAAAACATTATAATAAACTATTATTAAACACTACAAGGAACGTTATGTATATTCTCGGAAACAAATAAATGCGTAAGATTAAGGTAGTTTAGTTTATTACCCGTAATTCCACTCGGCGCAAACATATGGACCAATGCGAAGAACTCCATATAACCCTTGATCTTGAATTGTTTTCAAAAACCGAATAAGATCTAGATTTCCAGAGAAATCATATTGACGACGAGTAGGTTCGTGTGCGTTCCAGAAAACATAAGTTTCGATTGCATCGAGACCTCCTTCTCTGCCCTTTTTGATAAGATCCGGCCACATCTAAGCATAAAGATTAACAGAAAAAAAAAACGAATATTAATTTTAATAAAAATACTAACCATACTAGTTTAAGATATTTCGTAGTGTGTAAATATGATTATATGAATTGATGTATTTTAGGTTTAATTACCTCAGGAGTGCTTCTAGGGTAGTGGATAGAACCAGAGAGAAGAACTCGACGATGACCATCAATGGTGATAGCTCGACCATCGTGAGAGACAATTGTGGCATATGCACAACTACCGACTAAAAGAAAACATAAGAAAGATAAGAGAAATTTTAGAAAAATCATCGCTGCTAAGAAGACTTTTTCTTTGTTTTTTGAGTGAAAGAAGATAGAAGTAAACGATGCTTTATATAGTACTTT